AATTATTGATACTGGAGAAATGTTTAATGTTTTCCAACTGCTTTTGTAGTTTATTCAATTAACATAGTAATTGTTCAATAGATATAAGTTGAAGATATAAATTGTTCGATGAAACAATTAATATTACAGAGATTTTCTACAGAGAGTAATATTACAGAAATTCATTTACAAATATATATTATTATTTTATTTGTTTGTCAAAGTCACAACTCATCATATATAATGTTGGAACATATCAAACTTTTCTTCTAAACTATAGTTTTCTATATATTGTTCATATTTTTAGCGCTTCGTGTTTCATAATTTTTTTATTATCAGTGTCTCTAGAAAATAATAAAAATTTTGCCAATTAGATAGTTATTGAAGGTGTGCCAGTAGATTCCACGGATCCGTCGCGTCTGTATCGCGGATATATCGCTATCGACGACATAGATCTGCAGCCTGGTACGTCGTGCGTTGGATTCTGTAACTTTGCCGCTGGCTTTTGTGACTGGAACAATGATGCGGAAGATGATTTCGACTGGACTATAGTGAGTGCGCTACTAAGTTTTATGTAACTTTATTATTCTGCGCTTATATGTTGAATTTGAGAATGTCTATTTTTAGAGTCGTGGAAGTGCAAATCCCACAACCGGTCCAGCGATGGATAGTTCCAGCGACCGTGCCACAGCCAGTGGTTACGCTTTCATCGATTCCGGATTCCCGCGAAGACCTGGAGACACGGCGAAACTCATAAGTTCGAGCTTCCCGGCAACAATGCTAGATGCACCAATGTGCATGCATTTCTGGTTCCACATGTTTGGAACTGGAATCGGTTACCTAAAGTTATTTCTACGTCATTTTCGTAGTTCAGATGCACAGCTACAAGAGATTTGGGGTCTGTCCGGAAACGCGGGCAATGCCTGGTTCATGTCACAAGTTACAATCAGCTCCCTCGATGATTATCAGCTAGTTTTCGAAGCATCAGTAGGAATCACCGGCATGGGAGATATCGCAATCGATGATATTTCGTATGGGCCAGGTGCTTGCCCTGGTAAGTTCTTAAGTGTTATTTAAAATTTATATTAAAACGAGAAATTAGATTTCAATATTTTCTCGCGTAAAACTGTCCTTATAAATGTCAATTGTAGTAAGTTGAGATTCTCTTGCTAATAAGTTGAAAATATAGTAGTATAGAAAATATATTTATAAATTCGGGAATACTTACGGTTTTCTTGTATTTTCCAAAAACTTAAATATCTCGATGAAAAAAATGTAGAAGTTTTTAAAAACGCCTTTTAAAGAAGAAAAAAATAGAACTTTCAATCGGGTCCGTATAAATCCTTGGACCCTATTGCTCCTCTTACTAACAATAAGTCTTTCTATTAAAGGAGGGGTTTCATTGGAGCCCTTCCGATGTGTGTTTACCACCGGTGTGCTCCTTAGCCATCCTAATTGGTATGCGAGAAGAACCCGCAGGGCAGATAAAAGCCCCTTTTGGAGTTCTCTCCCGTTCCCGCCTGGCCCTCTTCTTTTCCATCCCGTTGCGATTGTTCTTAAAAGGACAATCCTCAGCGACAGCTGGTCCTGACTCAGAGATCGCCGTGCCTCTAGAGTCCAAACGAGCTTATTCGGCCGCAGCCGTCGGTTCAGCTTCAGTCTCCAAGATCCTGCTGTTCGAGCTCTCAACCTTCATGCTAACTTCATTTGATGTTCGACTAAGATCCATTTTGATCCCACGAGTACCTAAGGAATTAAACAATCCATTCACGCTGCTCACACAGAGTCCCACATGCGTGAGTAAGGCTAAATACTCTGAAATTTCACCCGGTTCTCTAGAACCATTGACAGCGACACTGCTCCTTCAGTGCCATGTAGCTCTATCTCGATAGCTTCCAACTTAATGGGGGGAAGATGGTCCGCGGCAGCGGCCTTCTCAGCCACGCGCAAGATTTTATATCTGAGGGACCGTTTATAGCCACCACTGTTCGGAGGGACTCTTAATCTCATGCAGGGTTTCACACCCGGAAGATTGATATTCCCTTCGGACGTCCTCCGATCTGCCACCTGGAGAAGCGACCGGTGGCTAGCCCAATCCATAGAGCCACGAAGAACGCGGATCTCACCGGAAATTTTAATGTAATTCAGGAACTAAATTTCATATAAACAAAATTTGTTACTTTAGAACAAAATCTCTATTTTTTCTTTTTAAAATGCAAAAACTTCTTTACGATTATTTTCACCAAGATAATGTATGTAAAAAGCGAGAAAATCTTAAGTGTTTCCTTTATGAACGATATTGTATATAAGGTGGTCTCATCATATGTTTCTCTCCAAACACATCTTAAGATCTGAGTCTGCTTTAAAAGTGTTAGCTTAATATTAAAATGGCTGATTTGTATTTAATCTCTTGAAGCATTTCAGATTTGATTCTGAAGTCTATCCCATATACTGATTTTTCAAATTTTCTGCTTGAAATTATTTTCTTATCGCATTATAAGTAAGGAAACAAGAAAGCTAACACTATGGCATACAGAATAGATTTAAGTTTGCTGACTGACGAGTCGAGACATTTGCCTACGTCTTGCAAATATCTCGACTCTCAGTAGTAAGCACCAATTATGAGTCACAGTGTTATTTCCTTTGTTTTCTTACCTATAATTTGACAAAAAAAAACGGTGCCTTAATAAAATTTGAAAAGTTAACGTATGAGATAAACCTCGAAATCGAACCTGGGACCTTTGAGAGAATAAATAATATGTATCGTTTTCACATTAAACTAATACTTCGTCTCTTGCATTACATCGATCAGTATTTGATTTCATAAATCGATTTCTAATCCTTTTGTATTGATTTGATAGTTTCACCTCAAGTGGCTGCTCCGATATCGCGGGATTGCACCTTTGAGATTGATGAATGTGAGTGGATCAATTCGCGGGATCCAGATCGTGTCGAATGGGAAAGGGTATCTACTCAGGTGTTAGGCCCAAGAAATCAAAGGAAACCGTACAGCAGTGGACACACAGTTAATCGACGCAACGAATATTTTTTGGGCCTTGGACGTCTTCGAGGTGGTCCGCGATCATCTGGAGGTGGTACCGCTCAGCTGGTCAGTCGCCAGATGAAAGCTTCCGAAGAACCGCTCTGCATTACATTTTGGTATTTTATGTTCGAGCCCTTCATTGATTCCACAGGACCTAGTTTAGGTAGAGTTTAAAAAAAAATTATTAGTTTGATCGAATATTTTATCTTTAAATTAATTTTATAATTTTTTATGATTTAGATTTCATGTTTCCTTATGATTTTATTACAAGATTTCTTAATCTTAATTAATCCAAATGATATTATTAAAAAAAAAAATAGAGAATCTAAAAATTCAGTTCAATAAAATGGATTGTTGTTAGCCTAATTCCTTTCAAAATAAATGCAATTTACCGATACAATGAAAGCAGTATTTTTAATTTTATAGGAGTTTTGCGATTATACATGCAAGCAGAGGGTGATAGTTCGAAAGCTAAACCTATATGGCAATTATATAATAATCAAGGTCCCACATGGAACTACGCTCAAGCTAATATCAATCAAAACACAGATTTTAATATCGTATTCGAGGGCACTTGGGGTCCGAATAGAGCTACTGGTAGCATAGGAATTGATGATATCTCTTTTTACACCGGAAATTGCAGTGGTAAATATTTTTCTCTTTTCTTCATTTCTTTTTTCTGGAATAAATATTTATTCCTTTTGGAGTACAGTATTATTCTCTCTTACCTAATTTTATACATTAAATTTATGTTTTACATTTACATACAGTGAAACCAACGAGTGCAGTCGTCCGCCCAGAAGATTGTAGCTTTGAGAAGGATTTGTGCGGATGGGAGAACATAACTATTTCCGATAACGATCGTGCTGTAATGTGGCAGCGCGCGTTTCAGACCCATCGACCGGCTCAATTATTGGACAGAACTTTTGGTGCGCCTGGCGATTTTGTATTCTTTGACATCTTTACAACAAACAAGGAATCAACGAAGGTTCAATTACAATCGCCTATCATCAATGCTTCGCCCGATGAAGAGTTTGTATGTTTCACTTTTTGGTTCGCCGCCTTTGGCGTGGAGGAGTCTACCACTCTACGAGTAATCAAAATGCCTACCGAAGAAACTGAGGGAGAAAGTGAAGGCGAACAAGAGCAACCGGTACGAATGTTACATATAAAACTGAATGTAATATTTAAAATATCATTTATTATATATTCTTTTGAGCTCTCTGGTATAAAACGAATTTTAATTTCCATTTTAATATTAAATGGAACGAGCATTTTTTGTGGAACAGAGATGTGGTTTATTTTGGTTGATTTTTTTCTAAACCTTTAATTTCATTATTGTAGTTATGGTCATTGACAGCCAAAGGATTAAATAATCCACGACCGGTATGGATGGCGGCACAAGTGGCAATTGAAGCGCGAATTCCATATCGACTTATTCTTGAGGGAAGCGCCAGTAACGGAGGCTTCGCTGTTGACGATATAAAATTTCAACCTCTATCCTGCGCAAGTAAGACTAATAAAATATAAGAATAGCAAATGGAAGCAAATAGTACAAATATTTATGTGTTCTTTTTTCAGTTCGACCACCCAGTGCTCAACCAATCCAAAGCGAGGCTGAATGAAAAAAATCATATAATAAGTTTCTCTTGACGTTGAAATAATCGTTTTTATCAAGCATTTAACATCTAGGATTTATATTATTAATATTGTACTTAATTATATTACGAATAGAATAAACCATTTTATATAATATAAACTATTTTAAGTAGAATAAATCATTTTATATAAAATAAACTATTTTAATTAGAAAAAATGTGTAATGCAAAATCATCTTTGTGTAGCCCAAAACATTTTTATATGATTGAATGAATTAGATATATATTTACAAAAAGTTCTATTATAATTTACAAACAATAATAAATTGTAATATAAATTTTATTAAAATAAATATTGTTTTACAAAGATTGTATTTATGTAAACATTTGTTGTAATGTACAGAGTTATAATTAAGACATTAAAATGGATATCACGAGTACAATGATAAATTGTATATGATGATCCTGCCAAAGAAATCAGTGCTTTCATTAAATACAAATTTAAAAATTTTGGCTCTGACCTGATTTTTTAAATTAAATCGCTGTAGCTTATTCTTATCTTCAGGAGAAAAAGATTCAACAACTATTAGCTCCTTTTTGTCATTACCAGCTTCTATATGACAATTTTTTCCAGCAAATCCACCTTGGAATTCTACTTCAAAGCTGGAGAGACTGCATTCTTCTTCAAAGTTAATAAGGACCCACTGTGGACTTCCCTGTGATATATATTATATGTTATATTATATGTTTGTCATCATATTAAAATATATAGTCAAGTACATGAAGAACTGATTCATAATAAAACTTGGTTACCTACTGCATCAGAATTCCAACATGTTTCACTGCAATTATCAAACATACACATTTTTCCATAAGATTGAACATTCTTATTTAGCACAGAACTCACCCTAAATAAAATATCAAATCATTATTAAAGCATTTCTTTTTTGACATATTTTATTTAAATGTATTATATGATAGAATATAACAATTTTTTAAGCGAATTTCTCTTTCATAACCATTTCTGTTATTTACTTTATTTTATTGCAAACATAAAACAGATAAAACTAACCGACATTCGAACTTATTTTCTGTCAACAGAGTAGTCATATCGGTATCTTTATTTTTTTTCTACAAGAAGAAATAATTATATCATATTTGTGAATAAAGAATAAAATTTCTCGTTAACTATTCATTTAACAAAGTCAGAGAAAGATTATATTTCTTTCCGTTTTATAAATTAGTTTCTTTTTTTCAAGCTTCTCTCCAATGTGGTAAACCGATATTTTCTGTTTCTTTTTTTGTTTTGCTTCTCTCTAGCACTCTGTATTCTGAAATTTCTGAATTTGTTGTAAACCAGTCGTAAACAACTTTCATTCCATTTCCGTATTGTGTATTTTAGGTCCTACGTACAATAGAGGAAATATTAGGAATAGGAATAAATAATGACCATGTTCCAAATTTATTCCTTCAGCACTGAAAATGCTACAATTTACGTTACGTGTCCTATAGATTTTCAGTACCGGCAGTCAATATTGGCAGCCAATCACAACTCAGGATCAATCATGAAACTTTATCCTTAGGATGAAAAGTAAAAAGTGAAAATTTTAACTATATTGAAGTTAATGGAGAAATTTTTTTCTCTAGGAAGGACTATGAATACGGGTATTAATATTTGGTGAAAGCGTGAAAGAAAGTTCTAGTGCAATCTAGTGCAGGAATAAGAAATAGACCAATATTCCTTTTTACAATTTTGAGGCAACGTTTTGATTGATCAAAAAGCAGTTGCCATGTTCCAGAATGCACAATTCGAAAATTAATACACAATCTCGAAAATGAAATAGGCCTAGTTTACATCGTGCACTTGATACACGTACTAACTAGTAACTTTCTATTAAATTATTTTAATTTTAGTAATGTATTTAAAGAATGATATAAATCTACTAAATTGGTACAATATGCATCATAATGATTAATTAAATACATATATCATGTATATATTTCAACATATCGCCGAAATTAAGATCATTCAGAAAGTTACTAGTTAGTACTCATATCAAGTGTACGATGTAAACTAGGCCATACCTTATATTCTTATATCGTTCATCTACCTCATCTTTTACTCTTTCTGATATTACTCCGGCCATTCCACCATTCCATGAAAGAACATGGGAGAAGGTAGATGTTGAAGGATCTTGTAATTTTTTCGTGTTGCCGATCTTTTAAAACAGAGACGAAGCAACGCATACGAAATTTTTGACGAGATTAGGTCGTCATTACTCTGAAGCATGGCAGAGTATCTCGACTCTGAAGCGGACGTGAGCGAGGTAAAGTCTTTTCTTTCCATTTTCTCGCCATGAGAGGTCCTAAACTCTTGTACGACGAAGCGCTGCAACGATTTGGTGCTAATAACGTGTCCTGTATTATAGGGTGAGGAGGAGTTGGATCAGAATGAGAAGAAAAAACTGAGGAAGTTGAAAGCGGTGGAGGAGAGCGACGACGAGGAGGAAGGTAAGGAAAGTCGGCGCGAACCTTTCGCGGTTTTTTTATGTATATGATTCTTGATAGATGCCGATTTATTGATGATAAACTGATCCAATTATTCCGTAGTTTGCTGTTTTTAATTGGACATGGAACTTCTAAAATCCGCTCTAAAAGTAATTGTTAATTTTTATTTAGTAGTCTCAGAATATTTCGTTTATTTCTTTTCCCCTTTTTTTTTATTCTTTCATCTCTTTGTTGTCCTGATTTATTTGTTTCCTTTCCCTTTTCTCCTTTATTATCTGCTTTCTCTTTTTAATTTATTATTGCACTCAATAAAAGTTATTTAACTAAATCTGTTTAGAATTATTTTTATTATTTATTAATAATTAGTTAAATCGGGCCATGTTCTGATATATATTATCGGTATTGAAAATTTTTGTTTATGTATACTATAAATTTTCAATACTAGCAATATACAAAACAGAGCCTCAGAGAGATTCTTTTACTAATGTTAAAAAATTTTTAATTTATATATACAAGATTTGTATAAAAATACTTCTTAGTAAGTAGGAAAGAATATTTCAACATTGTTGAATGCAGATAGCATGGAACATAGCATGGAAAACATAGCGTTCTAACAATGTTGCTGGAATGTTCCATGCTACGTGAATGAAATAAGAATTAGGGTGATATTTCATTTGTGTGTTTTTGTCGCACAATAAATTTTCAAGCCTGTTGATTGGTTATGGGATAGAGAGATCCAAAGATCTCTCTGTTCTGTACACGTTTGTCATACGACAAAAACGCACAAATGAAGTAACACTCTTAAGATGCATTTTCACTAGCTACTCATACTGACTGTTTCAATGACAAAAAAGATCAAATAATGACTTTTGTTATAGAACTATTAGAGCAACATCTCAAATTATTATTAGCAATTAAGTTATTCCAACTGCATTTTTTCTGGAATTCTTTCATCTGGATCAGCAGTGAAGGAAATGAATAGATTAGGTTACATATATCTTGGTTAACACTGTTTAATCTGATCGACGGGATGCAGCAGCACCGTCAACAGTGTTTGAGTGTTTGACGCTTTGTACTACAAAATTTCAGTCGCTGGAATAGCAGCACATGAAATTGTATCGAGTTGCTAAAAAAAAAATTGTCTAAAAGATTTTAAAAGTAAAAGACTTAAAGAACTTGTAATGTGAAATTGCTTTATTTGATGTTGCAAAAAGCATTGCAAGCATTGCTTTATTCAATGATACTTTATTTACAATTTACATTATATTTTCAATAGATATTATCTTGTGTGAAGTAAATAATAAAATTGAATGTTTACGGAGATTTTTTCTGATTCTGATTACTAATTTTTTATCTTGCATGTTTCCACTTTCATAAAAATGTTCATTATTATTTTAAGCTTATGTTTTTTTTAACCTTTTAAATGCCAGAAAACCAACTAATTACAATCAAATATAAGGAGAATACTCGATTAGAATTGGTCAGTTTCCTATGACTTAACGACTTAAGACTCTACGACCGTCTACGACTTCTATGTAGAGAACCTTTTAGTGTTATTTTCCTAGGAAAAAACCTGGCATTAGGGAAAACAATGTTTTTTTTTAAATAATATTTCATTTTTTTGCTCTAATCTATTTTTAAAAGTCTCCATTTGATACAATACAACATATAAATCACTTTTTAAAAGACATTTGATTACAGAATGTTACTTAATACTACTTAAATTTTGTTTAGCATTTTTAAAGCAAAACATAAAAAACAATATATTAAGCATTTAAAAAGTTAAAAAAAAATTTTTTTTAACTTTTTAAATGATTAATCTCTATATAGTAATGTATAGCATTAACATGCTATATACATATATTTTATAGATAATAAGGATAAATACTGCTATTACTTTTTTTATATATGTACTTAGAGTTAATTAGATTAGCTTCTAATATATTATATCTAATATTAATTTTTTTAATTGTTATTTATTTATATACTTATGTATGTATCTGTATGTATACAATATAAACATATTTTGAATCTGTGAATATATGGACCATTATTTTTTTTCTGTTTCTTTTTATATATATACTTAGTTAATTAAAAAAGATTTACTTCTAATGCATCATATTTAATTTATATTAATTTTTGAAATTATAATTTATTTGCATATGTACATATGTATACATATGGTGTGCAACATTGATATGATATATTTTATAGATGATGAGGATCAGTTGCGCGAGGAACTGAAAGATTTGATAGATGACAATCCTATAGAGGAAAGTGAAGGTGAAGACAGTGACGGTTCTGATCATCATAAAAAGCGTAAGAAAAGTGATGATGAGGATTTTGATGATCGCTTGGAAGATGAAGACTACGATCTGATTGAAGAAAATTTAGGCGTTAAGCTTGAAAGAGTATGTTTCTATACATCTTGGATTATTCTTAAAAAAAAAATAGAGAGAATGTTGATTAAACAATATTAAATATTTTACTTTGCATTACAGAAACGTTTTAAACGTCTTCGAAGAATCCAAGATGAGGAATCAGAGGAAGAACAAGAAAAAGAAGCAGACGAAGAAAGGGACGCTATTGCGAATGAATTGTTTGAAGGTTCCGGAGATGTAAGTTACATGAATATATTAAATTCGATACAATGTTAATTTTGAGTGTTAATTTAAATACTTAAAAAGTTACATAACATATTGTCTGCAATATTTGTTTATGTAATGTGTACTCTGTTGCTTCTTGTTGAATTCTTATTTTTTGTACATAAATTATACAATTATACAATTATAACAAACGCTTATCTATGTATATGTATCACATCTGTATTTGTTAAAACACATGCATACTATATTAGGAAAGGGATGTTATTACGGTATGTAATGTTTGTGTAAGGTCTGCGATATACAAAAGTGTAATATTTTTATTTATTTCTTTGTATTGCTCTTAGGAGGACGAAAGACGGAGTGAACGAAGTCATAGACCGGAGGCGGATACCTTTGAGGAAGGTAGTGATGAAGGCGAATACACTGATGCGGATGATTTTATTGTTGACGATGATGGTAGACCTATCGCAGAGAAAAGAAAGAAAAAGAAACCAATATTTTCTGATGCGTACGTTGTGATATTTAATGACTTTTTAAAATGTCTTATAAAATATCTTTATTAACATCTATCTATTAGCATAAGTATAAAAATTATCATTTAGATAAAAAAGAATATTTTTTTCTTGTCTATAGAGCATTGCAAGAAGCACAGGACATTTTTGGTGTTGATTTTGATTATAATGAATTCGATAAATATGGCGAAGAGGATTATGAGGAAGAAGAGGAAGAAGAAGAGGATGAATACATGGATGAAGATGTTGATATTGAACGACCGCGGCGACCGAAGAAGCAATTGAAGAAAAAGACCACGAGGAAGAGTATCTTCGAGATTTATGAGCCTAGTGAATTGAAACGCGGTCACTTTACTGATATGGATAATGAGGTACGACATAATAATATGTAGTAATGCTAAACAACAATTATCAGCAGCGTTGGATAAATGTAACATATTTTTTTTATAATTCTTATATTAAATTTTTAAATATTTAGTTTTTCTATATTTTACATAGTTTTCGAAAATATTACAATATAGAGAAGTATTATAATATAAAAAATTTTTAATTTCTATATTGAGATACATGATATAAGAATTAATAATTAAATTTGAATTATAATACAGAAATTTTGTATTACATCTTTTAATTTAACACAAAAAATATATATAGAAAGTACATATAAATAGTAACGATGTTTTGTCGTCTAAAAAATGCGATAAACGTTATTGTATATTTATAAATAGCTACATTGTTTCCAAATCTATCACTTATGAAATCTGTTTCAAAATTGCAGATACGTAATACAGATATACCAGAAAGAATGCAACTTAGATCTGTACCAGTCACATCAGTTCAGGAAGGTTCTGATGAACTAGATCTCGAAGCAGAATGGATCTATAAGCAAGCATTTTGCAAGCCTACAGTCTCCATTCAGGATGCCCACTTGAATGCTGAGGCTAAGGAACGAGCACGAAAAGGACCACAGACTATCGGCAAGATCAAGAAAGCCTTGGACTTTATGCGCAATCAACACTTTGAAGTTCCTTTTATATCTTTCTATAGAAAGGAGTATGTGTTGCCCGAGTTGAACATTAATGACTTGTGGAAAGTTTATAAGTTTGACGCGAAATGGTGTCAGTTGAGCCAACGGAAAGAGAACCTGCTCAAACTATTTAATAAGATGCGCAATTATCAACTGGATGAAATCATGAAGAATCCAGACGCACCGTTGCCAGATAATGTACGAGTGATTAAAGACGACGACATTGAGCGACTGAAGAATGTGCAGACAAGTGAAGAGCTCAATGATGTCTATAATCATTTTATGTTGTATTATAGTCATGAGATTCAGGCGATGCAGGAATCCGTGCGACAGAAGGAGAAGCAAGCACGACGTGAAGAGAGGATTCAGCGACGTAAACAACAAATTGCTGAGGCAGAAGAAAATGGAGAGGATCCACCGGAGGAGGAAGAAATACCAGAGGAAGAAGAAGTCGACGATACGCTGAAGCAAGCTGTTAGAAGCGGCCCGTACTCAATCTGTCGGAAGGCCGGTTTGGATAGTCTAGCGAAAAAGTTTGGCCTAACACCCGAACACTACGCCGAGAATCTGCGTGATAATTATCAGCGTCACGAGGTGGATCAAGAGCCGACCGAGCCAACGACAATCGCGACCGAGTACTCCAGTTCGCGATTTAAGGCCGCAGAAGAAGTATTGAAGGCTGCTCAGCTGATGGTGGCAATTCAATTGGCACGCGAGCCGCTCGTGCGTAAATGCGTGCGTGAGATGTACATGGAACGCGCTAAGATGTCCGTGAAGCCAACGAAGAAGGGCATTAAAGAGATCGATGAGAATCATCCAATCTACACAATGAAATATCTGAAGGACAAGCCAGTGCGTGATCTAGTAGGCGTTCAATTCTTGAATCTGATGATTGCCGAAGAGGACAAACTCATTACGATTACACTCAGTGACACTATTGAGGGTAACACCAGCAATAACTATGTCGACGAAATGAAACAACTCTATTGCCGTGATGAGTTCAGCAAACTCGTACAAGATTGGAATGCTTTGCGTGTAGGCAGCGTTGAAATCGCTCTTAATCGCATGGTAATACCACATCTAAAGAAAGAGTTGCGCGCAAATTTAATCGCTGAGGCGAAGGAATGCGTGATGCGCTCGTGTTGCCGCAAGATGTACAATTGGATTAAGGTCGCGCCATACAGCTGTGAGTTCCCTGAAGAGGAGGATGAGGAATGGGACACCAGTAAAGGCCTGCGCGTCATGGGCTTGTCTTACGTGCCTGATTATTCGCAGGCAGCTTTTACCTGTTTGATCGCGGCTGATGGAGAATGTACGGATTACCTACGCTTACCGCATTTGATGAAGCGCAAGAACAGTTATCGCGAAAACGAGAAGACGCTGAAGGAGGCCGATTTACTAGCGTTAAAGAACTTTATAGCCACGAAGAAACCACATGTGATCGTGGTGGCTGGTGAGTCTCGGGAAGCAATGATGATCGCTGCTGATATCAAGGAGTGTATCACACATTTGTCGGAAGAAGAACAGTTTCCTAATATCCAGGTGGAGATATGCGACAACGAACTCGCCAAGATCTACGCCAATAGTAACAAAGGGAATTCGGAGTTCCGGGATTATCCGGAGCTGTTACGTCAGGCTATTTCGTTGGCGAGAAGGATGCAGGATCCACTAGTGGAGTTCTCACAATTATGTACGGCTGACGAAGAGATTCTCTGTCTCAAATATCACAATTTGCAGGATCAGTTACCTAAGGAAGAACTGTTAGAAAATCTATATTTGGAATTCGTAAATCGCGTGAATGAAGTTGGCGTAGATGTGAATAAGGCAGTCCAACAAGCATACTGTGGCAATCTTGTTCAATTTGTTTGCGGTCTTGGTCCACGAAAGGGTCAGGCATTGATCAAGATGCTGAAGCAAACAAATCAACGATTAGAGAACAGAACGCAGTTAGTTACAGCATGTCATATGGGACCAAAAGTATTCATCAATTGCGCTGGATTCATCAAAATCGACACTAATAGCCTTGGCGACAGTACCGAAGCGTATGTAGAAGTGCTCGACGGTTCACGCGTACATCCCGAGACTTATGAATGGGCCAGAAAGATGGCAGTTGATGCACTGGAATATGACGACGAGGACGCCAATCCTGCTGGCGCTTTGGAGGAGATACTTGAATCGCCAGAACGCTTGAAAGATTTGGATCTCGACGCTTTCGCAGAAGAACTCGAGCGGCAAGGTTTCGGTAATAAATGCGTTACTCTCTACGATATCAGAGCCGAGTTAAACAGCCGATACAAAGATCTCCGTGTATTATATCAATCGTCGAGCGCGGAAAAATTGTTCGATGTTTTGACAAAGGAAACACCCGAGACTTTTTACGTCGGCAAGCTAGTGTTAGCTACCGTGGTCGGCATCAGTCATCGAAAACCACAGGGCGATCAGCTTGATCAGGCGAATCCGGTGCGAAACGAAGAGACTGGTCTGTGGCAATGTCCTTTCTGCTTGAAGAACGACTTTCCCGAATTGTCGGAGGTGTGGAATCACTTCGATGCTGGCGCTTGTCCAGGTAAAGCTACCGGCGTGAGACTGCGACTGGACAATGGTATCTCCGGTTATATTCACATCAAGAATTTGTCGGACCGGCACGTCGCAAACCCCTGCGAGAGAGTCGGTATGGGACAGATCATTCATTGCCGGATCATTAAAATCGAGGTAGACCGATTCAGTGTCGAATGTACCAGCAAGAGCAGCGATCTCGCTGATAAAAATCATGAATGGAGGTGAGTAGATTATATAAACATATAAAATAATGTTAATAAATAAATAAAGTCTATTTCTATTTAGATCTATCGTCTTTACAATCATCAATAAAGTTTGCAAAAATAGAAAAAAATCATATTTCTTAGTTTAAAATATAGAGTGATATAATTTAAAAAAAATATATTACCGTATACATTATTATAAATTGTAATTTAATGCAGGCCACAGCGAGATCCATTTTATGACACCGAATCCGAGCAAAGAGATATTAAGGTAGAAGAGGACGCGAAGAAGGCAAAACAGCGGCAGATTTATGTGAAACGCGTTATCGTCCATCCATCCTTCCATAATATCAGTTTCGCCGAGACTGTAAAATTAATGCAGACAATGAAGCAGGGCGAAGCAATAGTGAGACCGAGCAGCAAAGGCGCCGACCATTTGACAGTCACGTGGAAAGTTACTGATGACATTTTACAGCACATTGACGTTCGTGAAGAGGGTAAAGAGAATGCTTTTTCATTGGGACAAAGCCTGTGGATAGGCAACGAGGAATTTGAAGATCTAGACGAGATTATCGCTCGACATGTAAATCCTATGGCCGCTTATGCCTCTGAATTGCTGGATTTCAAATACTACAAGCCCACTGTAGAGGGAATCAAGGATAAAGCGGAGGAAATATTAAAAGAACAGAAAAAGGAGAATCCTAATGGAATTCCATATATCATATCAGCAGCTAAGGTAAATAAGTGTATATACAACTAATTTTTTACTTTTATGTAACATAACATTTTTCTGAAAATCTTTTTATTTTTAATTTAAAAACAATTTCGTTTGTTTTTCTTTCATAGACTTATCCTGGAAAATTCTTACTCTCATATCTGCCACGCACTCGTTGCCGTCACGAGTATGTCACAGTAACATCCGAAGGCTTCAGATTTCGGGCGCAGATGTTCGGTAGAGTGAGCGACCTATTGCGCTGGTTCAAGGAACATTTTAGGGATCCCGTTCCTGGACAATCCACTCCTAGTACACCGCGTGGTGCGATGACTTCTAGAACACCTTACACTACTACGCCAGGAACAGTCAGCGGTAAGTCTACATTGTAAACTATTGTCAGTCACTCTTAAATCATAGTATAGATCAAATTGTTATATTTCATTTTAAAAAAAACTTTTTTTCAAAATTAAATCATTCTATTCACACACACACACACACACACACACACACACACACGCACGCACATTCTGTTATCAATTATTTTACTTATTTTTTGCATACATTCGTTGAAATAAAATAAAACGCACAAGTATGAACACACGATTTTGTCATAAATAAGATAAAATATACAAATATATGTGTTAATTACTATTACAATTGCTACTGTTTTAGGAATGAATCAAGAAGCAATACAACGAGTTGCACAGAATCTTCCACATCACATGTTGCACTCGTTATCACAAGTGGCGAATCAAACGCCACATCATTATCCGCCACACACCCCAGGAGCGGCTAGTACTACCGGCTATGGCGGAGGACACACGTATCCCAATACGCCGTACACGCCGTCTGGTCAAACTCCGTTTATGACCCCGTACCAGACGCCGCATCATACGCCGCATCATAGCCAGCCTACTCCCAGATACGGTCAACAAACCCCTAGCCATCATCAAGGGCCCTTTGTACATCCGCCGCCGCCCTCGATGACACCCAGCCATCACAGATCTGCTCAATCGCACAGACCTACACCACCCATATCTACTCCTTCCGGTGATCCCATGGATTGGAAGAAGGCCGCCGAAGCATGGGCACGTTTAAAAAGCGGTCCTCGAGTCTCGTAAGTATAATAAGTAAAAACACGGATTAAATAACAATCATTTTCAATTGAAAATTGTTGATGTATAAGACGTCAGTGTTTTTCGTTCGATTATCGTCAATGGTTAAATATGCTTGCAGTGGATCGACGCCTAGATACGAAGAGTCTAGAAAAACTCCGCGTAGCTATGACGAATCATCTGGCAGAACGACGCCTTCCGGAAGGAGTAGACCCTCTACACGTACTCCATCGTATAAATCTCCGCGAGGTACTCCACACACGAATTCTAGTCCTCGGAGTATGTCCCTCAGCGGAGATGGTACTCCTTTATACGACGAGAGCTAACGGGATTGTGCATAGCTGATTTATATTTATTAATTACGTCTCGTATCATGCTATGTATGAAATAGTAAGAGTACGCATCGCGAAACATCGTCGATCACTCGCGTCGAATTGATCGTTGTAGACATGCAACATGCGTAATGAATTCCACTTTCTTGCACGCGAGATTTGCGAATCAAGAAAGGAATCATCGATTGGTTATTATAAACTACGGTGTTATACTGTAATTTATTTATTATATAATATTTCCGCGGTTTTTTCCTATGTACATAATAAAATTTTATGGAAACTTTATAAAGGCCTCACGAACACGCTCTGCAATTTCTTGATTCACTTTCCTACACATTGATGGCATCAATGAGAAAAATAATTTGAATAAAAAATTGGAATTTACTATAATTTTCGAACGGTTTTTATTTATCAGTCACTATAGAAAGATATTAAATATAAGACTAAGGTCAAGATAGAATCATAATATTTCTATTAGACTTTATCTTGATCTTAGTCATCAAGATGTATATTTTATATTAGAATTATAATATTTTAGCAGGCATTGATAAGATAGTATTGAAAAATGATTGTAACTGAATTATTGTTCAAAGATATATTTTATATTTTTCATTGATGCCATTATGTTCATAATATATAGAATTGATCTAATTACTTATCGTACCAGTAATATAATATCTTTTGAATATAAATACCGCATTGTTTACAGATTTCTATACATAAATACCTGGACTGCTATGTCACAATCAGAAAAATGAAAGTACTTCAAATGGTCTCAAGAGAGATAGTGACCGTTTTAAATAAATTTAAAGTTATTGAAACGATAACGCTACTTCATAAGATATTGAATATATGGATTCACATGACATAACTTGCCTCAGACTAATTTATAACTAGCACCTTAGCGATCTAGATATTCTATAGAAATCTGTCTTATATACATTAAGTCTTTATAAGAAAATATCTGTATAATATTTAAATTGTTCAAAATAATGTGGCATTTACTTGACATCGTTAAAGCTTGCAGTTGATTTTAATATTTAATCCTTGAATAAAGACGAAAGATGATTATCTTTTGTATTTGTATCGACTACAAAAAAAAAAGAATAAAATAACATTCAACATTCATAAGATAATATATACATATATGATAATAAATATGTAGAAAAATACTTTTTTTTAAATTAAATTTTCGCGTACTTGTTATCAATATACACAATATTTATACGGAATTACCGTCCGAGATAACAAACGATTCTTCGTCCTCCGATAGGGCGTCTTCTGATTGCGAAATACTTTTATAATAATTACATGTCACATTTTGCCGTTTCCTTAATGTCATGGTACATCGTGATTCTGAATTTACATTTTTGTTTGCCTTAGAATCACGCACACATTGCTAAAAAAAATACAATATAATTTCTTTCTTGAAAATATACGATAAGCAAAATGACTGTTTCGATTGATTTCAATGTTACCTTTCGCAAAGATGTTTTTAGCTTTTCTTCGCTGGAATCGGTAGAGCTCATCAACTTCCGTCGTTTGTGACGAACAAATTTTCTCGAGTTATCAGATCTCTTTGCATTGTTCGCAGCATTGACCTTATGTGATTTTTTAGGATCTGGAGACTTTTCAGTAACAATTGTTTAAATTAAAAGAATCCATAAACTTTTTGTTAATGACCTTATTTTTAACAGAAATATAATTATACAAACTTACTTGATTTTTATTTATATCTGAAGTATTTGATTCAGACATTATTTGTTTATTTGTTTCTTCAGTATCCTACATTTCACAACAAAATATGTATAATTATAATAAAAGCGGATGTAAATATTTCTGCAATTATAGAAATTGTTACCGTAGTATTCCTTAGAATTTCTTTTAAGTTATTAGTTTGTGAACGTAGTGATGAGTTCTGTGAATTGCCCGGACTATAGACTAGATTGTTATCTTTCAACGTTATACGTTCACCTATAAAAAAAATAATAGTAAAAAATAGCTTTAGATTATTTATCTATTTTTGTAAAAAAATTAATCTATCTTTTCATATTTTTATTATTAATCTATTCACCTGTCCAGTAACATAATGGAGGTAAAATATGACGACCCCTCGAACTAACAGGTGCATTCAACGAGTCCACTGTCGCATCGTGAGGTTTCTGACTAATTTCTTGAATATTATCTAGGAAATAAAAATAAATGCAACACATATAATATTTATTAAAAGTTAATTATATTTTAAGAAACTTACCTTGCTGCAACGTTTTCCAAGTTAGACAAAATTGCTCGATCTTCGAAGGACACCCATAACGACATTGTTTTACAAGTTCCTTGGGAATAACTAAATATAATAAAGCAATATTATTAATTGACAAATATTTATCAATGTACAATGATATAACGTTAATGATTTCGGATACTTTACTATGCTTATTGTCATTTAAATTTCCAAGAAGTTCAAAAAATTCATGATTCACTGATTCGATTACTGTCGCTGATAATCGCTTCAGCACAATGTCTGTCGTATAATTTCTATGTACAACGTGGCCAGCTTCGCTATATAGTAAAAAGAAAAAACATAAAATGTATTGTTTAATTATTAATTATATATATTATGTAATTGTAATCATTGGATTATTAGACATATCTATTATTTAAGAGAACTTACTTGACTAATTTTCCTTGAAAAGTTAAACCTAATCCAGATTTTGATTTCGCATAATATACTACTTTTGGCAGCCACGCAGTCAACATTTTGGAATTTTTTTTAACTTTATACCGCTCTTTGCTGCTTTTAGGTTGCTCAGTTGTTGAATTCGTCGTCGGATTAATAAAATTTATATCATGCAATTTATTGTTATTTGTCATTGGATAAACTTCTCTTTTATTGTCAATTGTCTTCGTATGAGAATCATTAACCACAGATTTTGAAGCGATTGACATGAAGTTCTTGTTAATGTTTTCTAACGGCCGAACATTTGTATTCTGTTTATCATTATTGATTATCTTGGAAGGCAATTGCTCGGCAGTTGTATTCAAGTTTTCTTTACTTATTCTCATCTTCAAATTTACCGGTACCGAATTGATTATAGTAGGTTTGGATTTTTTCATCACAATATCGTTTTTCGTTTGTTCGATAAATTCTCTATATAATTTCGAAGAGACGTTGGATTTTTCAGAAAACTCATTATTTTCGCTGATTGCTATAATATCTTGGTTCACCTTAGCCGGTGATGCTATTACATTTTTATCCGCTGTTCGTGAACTTACAATGTTGACATCAGAATTGATGGTATAATCAACATCTGAAACAAACTGTGAATGTACATTGTTTTGAACTCTATATGGAATATTTTGCTTCTTTATAAAAATATCCGAATTAATTCTTTGTGTGTCAAAAGCATTAATTGGATGTTTATTTTGCACATGCGTTACAAATTTGCCTTCCTCATACATTTCAAAATTTTTCTCTATTTCTCGGCGACTGGAATAAGTCATTTTTTGTGATCTTGGATTAATAGGTATTGTTTGACGACACTTCCTCATATTGTATGCTGTTCCCACTTCATCTTCTGTTATACTGACGCAGGATTCATTTAAAAGTAATTTTTTCTCTTCATTCATTGTCATATGACTGGACTTAGTTTCTTTTGTATCATACGTCAGATTCGTCACATGTTTCTGAGTGTCCGGATAAGTCGTTTTCTTTCTCACTTTACGTTTATATATTTTTCCAGGTAATTCTCTAGCTTTTAAAACTGGTTCAATCGATATTTTGCGTATACCCGCATAAATCTCGCTCTCTAATTTATCTGAATTGTTGTCGTGTCTCGGTCTAAGATTTGCTGAATTCGATAACTGGATACTAGAATCATTTTTTATGCTTCTGTATTCCGGATCGATGGAATGTTCCCTTGTGCAGTTTTTTAATTCCATCGATTTGTTTTGAAGCTTATTAGTGTTCACGGGGTTGTCATCACGAACTAAATTCTTTTGCAATGGCATTGTTTCTGATTTATATGTTTCGTGATTCGTGGAGATCATCGAATCGTTATTGCATTCCGATTCCGTTCTGTAAGACACTGCATAGTCCAAACAATCCAACATCTCAATAATCTTATTGATGTACTTTGGAGGGCAATTCTTGTCTGCCAAATTGTTAATAATGATGTTCAGTTTATCTTCTTGAAGAATATCTTTCAATTTATTCACTTTCCTAGAATTGCATGGTGGATTTATATCGGAATCGAAATTTTGTTTACTAGCTTCATCACATAAAAACTTCGTATTTTTTGTTTGCACAACAGGTATTATATCTTTTTCAGAATTGTAAATAAAAGGCTTTATAAACGAAGAATTTTTTTCACAACTTGGAATACTACGAGTAGAATAATTACATATTTCCTTCTCTTTAGATATATCGTTCATATTTTCAATCTTATTAGACTTGTTTAAGTTATAAGATTTCGTTGCAAAAATAGTGTTCTTATTTTTTACGTGTGCATAAGTTATATCTGTCAATTCGCTTTTTAAATCGTCGTCACTGTCAGTAATAGGGGTGGGCCAACGAAACGTTACTGGACATCCTTGCTCAGCATATGTCCTCCATATTTGATGAACGTTCTCCCAATCATCAGGAAAACCATTATAAAATTTTCCGCGAATATAATCTGGTAATCCTGTAATAAAATGTAAAAGTTATTAACCATCTATCAATTATTAGAATTTTGTATTTTCTGTTAGCAATATGGATCTTTGAGTTTCAGTGCAGATTTTTATATTTTAAATTATAAAAAATTAAAAAAAATTCTTGCATACTTACAATAGCTGTAACGAGTGTTTATTATCGCAGAAGTTGGATTGCATTTTACTTATTTTTTTTACAGATATACATTTACCTACCAGAAATATCAGAATATACAATCAAAAAATTGACTGTGCCTTCAAAGTCCAACTTGATCAACAGAGAGTTAATATGTAAACTATAAATTTTTAATGAATTTTATACAAATTATTACCATTTCTTTCATCAATAATATTCCCCGTCAGAATATATACATGCTTGTATTTGGATTCAACACATTTTGCAGAGTATCTTCTTATAACTGGTTTACTACGTACAACCTTACCACTGTTTGCAAAGAAAATAAACATTAACATTTAAATATTAATGCAGTGTTTTATTTTGTACTTACCAATCTAAAGTTCCTTTAATTATTAATTCGTAGTAGCTATTTAATGTAACTTTCCATTTCGAAAATACTCGATCAATATTCTGAGAATTATGAACAGAACTCGGTGAGACATAAGTTTTCTGATACTCTTGTACAGTAGATCTGTCAGCATCTGTATTAGTGGATATCCAGGTAGGAACGCTCTTCAAACATGTATTTATTGTTGAAGAGC